ATGGGTGTCCCTCAGCCTGGCCTGCACCCTCTTGCAATCCAGGACCCCTCAAGTAGGGTCCCTAGGTCTGGCGGTGATCAGGGCCTATCAGGGCTTTCCTCCCCCATCCCCCAGGCTGCCGACAGCTGGCCCCACCCCCGCCGCTGCCACTGCTTGCCATCTATGCGGCCCTGCCTCCCCTCCCCCTCCACCAGTCGCCTCCCTCTGTGGTCAACAGGCACGGGCTGCAATTGCTTGGCCGGCCTGGGTCTCCCTCTGCAGGGCGATTGCTGGCCGGCCCTGCACACCCTCCACAGTGTCGCTGGCCGGTGGCCCAGGCCTCCCTCTGTGGGATGATCGATCACAGGGCCCCCAGATCAATCGCCCACAGAGGGAAGCCCCGCCCACCCGCCGCAGCACCCATCGCAGCACTGCCAGCTGGATGGCCTGGGCCTCCCTCTGTGGGAAAATCATGGGGCGATGGCAGGGCCCCCCAACCAATCACATTGCACCCGCCTTGGCTGGCCTGGTGCCAGTGCATGTGATAGCGTGATCATCCAGAAGGTCGTCCAGTCATTTCTGCTGTTTGGTCATTCAATCGATTTGTACATTATGCTTTTATTATTATAAACTAGAGGCCCACTGCACGCTGCCAGCCTGATCAATGCCAAACTGCTCCCCTGACAGGCCGGTTTCCCCCAACTGCCCTTCCCTGCTGGCCCAGTCACCCCCAACTGCCATCCCCTGCAGACCCGGTCCCCCCCCAAATGCCCTCCCCTGCAGGCCCAGTCGCCCCTAACTGCCTTCCCCTGCCAGCCCGACTGCCCCCAACTGTCCTACCCTGCCAGCCCGGCCGCCCTCAATTGCCCTCCCCTGCAGGCCTGGTCACCCCTAACTGCCTTCCCCTGCTGGCCTAATCGCTTACAATTGCCCTCACCTGCCAGCCATCTTATGGTGGCCATCTTGTGATCACATGGGGGTGCCCATCGTGTGCAAGGGTGTGACAATCAATTTGCATATTACCTCTTTATTATATAGGATGTTGCTGTCATACTTTAAATGAATACTGATTAAAATGACAATCCTAGTGACAAACAGCTCCTGAAAGTCTCAATGAGTCAATGACTATATTGCCATTAAATTTCAATCCAATTATTCTTCTATAAATTTTCATTCAAGGCTGAATATTACCTGATTCTTGAAACTTTAAAGACTTGTCTACAATTCAGCTAAACCAGGGAACATAAAACCCTATCACCATAAAGCAGAAATGGCTCTAAAGTCATAAAAAGAGCTCTAACACATCAGTTTCACCATATTTAATGGATGTAAAATGCTCATTACGTAACTTAAGGTAAACCTAGGGGGGAAAACCTACAAAAAGGTGAAGAAATTAATTCTGAAATTAAAAATTATTTAAAGGTAAATATTTGCTGGGGGAATAAAGTTACACTTTGAGAAAAGGTAACATTATCAATGACACTTCATTTTGAAACATGTTTTTTGATCCAGGTGGCACAATAAAAGAACAAAATTTAATCAGGTAACCATTCCTGAATATAACAAGTTCAAAGTAAGCCCCATCATCTAGCTGTAAAAAATAAAACATATGTAAGAGGGCCATAAAATATAATTGTAATGAACTTTATACATAAATCAGAGGCATCCAGTAATTTAGGCTCATAAGTGCTTAAAATCTACACTAATAAAAGAGAAAAATGGTAATTGGCGTACGACGCTACCCTTTTCATTGGCTAATCACGGCTATATGCAAATTAACTGCCAACTCAGAGGGCAGTTAACTAACAAAGATGGCGGTTAATTTGCATATGTAGGCACAATGCAGGGAGGCGAAAGGGAAAGCAGGAAGAAGCCC